AATCGCGCCCCATCCATCAACAGGCTAGCAGCCTCCCTAATAAAAACATTTTACTCCTAAATGATCTCGAACTAATTAACTCAAAGTGTTAATTAAAGTTTGCGCAGACAGCATTGTCATCAGGGAGGGCGGTGGATCCATCTTCCTGAGAGAGAGACAGGGTTTGGGGGGGCATCTGGGGAGGAAGGGAGGGCTCCCTCCCATCCCCCCACCCCGCCCCCCTCCTGCATGGGCTGAGCCCTGTCCCCTGCTCTTCCCAGTCACCCCAGGCTACCCTGCTCTCTGCAGGTGTCCCTGCTCTTCGTCTCTACCCTCCATCTCTGCTCTCTGTCCTGAGTTCCTGTGTCTCTGTCTCTGGCTTCTCTGGCCAGAAGGTTCTCTCTCCCTTTGCCCCTCTCTCATCAGAGTGGAGGCCTTCCCTGCCTGCGGTTGTGCGTGTGGGCCGAGTTGGGAGGCAGAGACAGGCATGTCAGAGAAGTGTGTGGACATGCGTGTCAGAGGCCAGGGGTATGAGTGGACACATGCATGTTGGCGTTTGTGTGCATCCAGGGCTTCTTGTGTGTCATGTGTGTGTGTTTGTGTGTGTGTGGAGGGGCCGGACGTGTGCACCTGTGCTGGCAGGCAGGCTATGAGACTCCATCAGGGTGTCCCCAGCGTTGGAGGACCTGGGGGCCCCTTGCTGTCTCCCTCCCAGCAGGCGCTACACTGCTGTGAGTGAGTGACCAGGCTCGGCTCACTCAGGCCCTCTCTGCTTCCCCCCTTGCCAGCCCATAGCAGGCTGGCAAGGGGGCTGGGGCCAGGACAGGCCACCAGGCCATGGGCATTGGTGGGGTGGCTGGCTGGGCGGCCCCGGTGTGAGCTCATACATCAGGGCTGACAGCCTCCGAAAGCCCCGGAATTAAAACCTAAATCGAATATTGATCACCCGCTCTGGCCGTGGCGCCCACGATGCCCCCCCCCCAGCTCCTCGCGCTTGCTCTCTGCTCCCTGGCTCTCAGGCGGCACGGCTGTCCTGTCTCTCGCTGTCTTTCTCACCTCCTCTCCTCCACCCTGGCCTTCTGGTGATTCGTCTCTGGCCCCAGCAGGTGCCCCTTCATCCAGAGACCGAGGCAGACACTCAGAGAGATAGGGAGATGCGGGGACACAGTGACATGTGAGTGTACAAACACACCTAGACACAGGAGTTAAACACGGACCTGCAGATGGACCTGCAGCAGGCGGACAGACACCAGGCAGGCGGACAGACAGGCACAAAGCCTCCTGCAGGTGCGCACACCAGAAGTCACACCCCGAAAGTCACGTGACACACCACACCGAGAGGCTGCACAGTGTTCTCGTAGAGAAAAAGTGACACTCGGACACAGGCAGACAGACAGACACGGAGTGACATAGTCACGGTTACACGGCAGAGCGAGACAGTGACAGTTATCCTTGGAGGCAGACACACGGACATGCTGAGTGGCAGAGAATGCATACATTCTCTGTCCCCAAATTTCCACCCTCTGGACACCTCCCTCCCCAGATGCCACCTCCACTCCTGGATTCAGAACCCCAAAAGGCCCCCTACACAGGGAGGAAGTTCTCAGACCTCCTTTCCCAACACTAGGTACCCCCTCGCACCCCAAAGGTCCCAGGCTGACCCAGGAGGGTCCTGCGGAGGTGTGCCCCCGAGAGGGCCAGGGACAGGACCAAGGTCATGCTGCTTCTGTTGGGAGTCTCCATCGCAACTCCAGGTCACCTGTGGGATTAGGGTCAGACAACGGGAAGAACTTCCCTGGGCTGTGACGGCTGGGACCCTGCAGCTTGGGCAGGGGTGCTGCCCCACCCCCACCCCACCCTGAGGCTTCCTGGCTGGGGCGGGCAGTGGGGGAGGCGGGCGGTGGCGGCTGCCGGG